ACGCTCTGTAGACATAGTAAATACATTTTTAATACAGTTGCTCAAAAAGTGGCGTATTGCAGGGACGTGTAGCGTTCGGGATCTGGGCTATTTCACACTCGTGCTTTTTTTTTGCCTTTCCCGAACTCGTGCGTTTTCTTTCCCAACTGCCAAAATTATTTCTATTAAAAAAAACAACCATGAAGTTTTAACTAAAAAAAATCATAGAAGTTTTTGCGATTCATGCAAATAGGTTTATTTGTTTTTAAAAAGAAGCTACCTATACTAATTTGTCCAATATGAGAATTAATTAATTGATTGAATGAGTTAGGTAAGGTTTCAGTTCATTTCATATCATTAAATTTCAATTTCATTTCTTATAATAAAAAATACTAAGTACTAAAGACTTGGCTGTATGGGCAGTTCCCTTTGCCTACCAGAATGGGTGAAAAAAAACTGCTTACATTCTACGGTTGGCGCCATTTTCCGAAATTTTCTTTACGAGTTTAGTTGTTTTTTACACAAAATGAGTAATTTCGACCTAAATTTTTTTGAATTAACTCCACCGGAACTCAGTATAATTGCACAAAATGCTTCGGAGAACATTTTACCGGAAAAGTCAAAAATTCGCTACATATCTACATACGATGAATTTATTGCGTGGAAAGAAGAGAAAAAGCAAATAGTTTTTCAGAAAATGTTATGTTGGCATACTTTTCCGAACTCTCAGCTAAATTAAAACCTTCTACGTTATGGACAAGGTTTTCGATGATAAAAAGTATGCTGAAAATAAGGAACAACGTGGATATAAGTCAATATCCAAAATTAAATTCTTTCTTAAAACGACAATCAGACGGGTTTACCAGTAAAAAGTCGAAAATATTAACATCGAATGACGTGGAAAGGTTTTTGAAAGAAGAAAATACAGTCAATACATTATTTATATGAATCAAATCGTTTTTTTTAGGTTGCTCTGATTTTTGGCGTTGTTGGAGCTTGCCGCAGAGAGGAGTTAGCCAATATTACTTTAAAAGATATTGAAGCCCATGGAGAAATGCTACTTATCAAGATTCCAAACACAAAAAATAAGATACCGCGAAGCTTGAAAAGGGAAGTGTACAGCTCAAGTAATCGGCATAAACAAATTTGGTAATATGCCAAAAGAAATAGCTACGTTTCTTGGTCTGCCGGATGCTGAGTGTTATACTGGGCACAGCTTCAGAAGGACCTCTGCTACATTATTGGCAGATTCAGGAGCCAATTTGACGTCCTTTAAGCGACTAGGTGGTTGGAAATCGGAAAAAGTTGCAGAAAGCTATATTGGTGATTCATTAAACAACAAACTAGAAACTGGGAAAAAGATCACACAATCCATTAATTTAAGGTCCAGTCCGTCTCCTTCACATGCTGAAGAGAACGTTCGTCCATCTACGAGTACCTTCGTTGATAATGATAATTCATCAGATCCAATTCCATCAACTAGCAAACGCCATTGTATGACAAATATACATGAACAATCATACGAAATTAATAATAGTTTGTCTCAAACAGTAAATATGCAACGTAAAACTTCCCCAGTTAGTATAAAAAACTGTACCAATAGGGAAGATGCATATATAATATTTATGAAAATTAAATGATTAAAATGTTAAAAAAATATAAAAGAAATGCCACTGCAACGTTTTTATTTTACATAATGTTGTTTTTTAACAATTATTACGAATTAAAAATACTTGGAACGGAACGTATTTTAAAACACCAATCAGCGTTTAGTGACGTCACTCCTGTTATGAAAACTTCTTTGAGGTTATGGTTGTTAAAGTAAATATTATTTTATGGGAATATTTATTGCGTTTTTTTACATTTAATAAAAATGGAAGTTGTGTTTATCAAAGCAGACTCCAGGAATTTACCAAGAGTTAGCGTTGACATGGTTATAACTTTTTTTGTCCAAAGTGCAGAGTTTTTAAGTGTAGAAATGAAAGGGACTAAATTACTACGGTATGTAAAAATCGTAGTTGTTAAACTTCGTATTTTATTCATCGGCTTCTACAAATCTTACGGCGATAATGCAATCGGCTATGTCCAAATTAAAAGAGATGGAAAATTATGTACAGTAAAAGGTCGAGTTCTTCGGAGCATAAAGTACGTAAAGAAGGTTATCGTGTTACAGTTATTTTAAATGAAACGCAAAGCTTGGTTCAGTCCTGGCAATGTGAAGATTGTGCCACACATTTTAAACTTTATCTAATTTTCGACGTCATTCTCCAACTGTAAAATTAAAAATATGTTATAGACAGGTTTTGTAAGTATTATGTAAGTTACTAATGCGTTTTTACGTACAAGGAGATTAATTAAGCATATAACAAGTATATTCGCCGACTTACGTCAAAGTGATCTTCTCAGCATCGAATAATGGTCTTTGGAGAATAATTGTCATTTCTCTTCGCAGCTTGAAACCACTTTTTTTTCAGTTTTTGGGTCAGAAGATTTATTTGGAAACTTTGTTGAAGTAGATTGGCACAAAACATGAGTCAATACGGCTTTTTTTCGGAATATTAGTGGTATTGTTATGATCACATGATGTTGATGGATAGTCCAATTAAAATTTTTCAAAAAAATATTTCGAAAGTCGAAAAAATATGCAAAAGTATGAAAGTTTAAAGCCAAAAACGAACAATTACGACCAGTGACAGACAGGAGTGATGTCATCCCAACTATAGGTTCGTTTTCGCGCGAAAATTTAAATTGTCAATTTAAAACCGCATTTTTTCCGATAAATCACAATGTTTTAATTTTTTAATATATCTGTGGTTTATTCTACATGGAATTCTTTAAAATGAAAACAAAAATAAAAATATTGCATCTTCCCTATTTCAATGTATATGTGAATTATAACTTTTATAAGAAATAAATGATTAGTTAATTGAGTTTATTGTGTTTTTATAATTTGATTAAATTGCTTCATTTTTTCGCAACTGTATTAAAAATAGTCATTCAGTACACGTACGGAACCGTCATTGCAACTCGTTCCGACTGTCAACCCTCGCCTTCGGCTCGGGTAGACATTTGTCGGAACTCTTTGCAATGACAACCATTCCGTACTAGTAATGAAATATACTATTTTTGCTAATGTTGGTAAAGATCTGGCATCAAAAATTGAGGCAAGTCGTAATGAAACTACCTTTCAACATTCTTTATTAAATCCAGCATACGATTCTATGGCTGTTTTTACTACGGATAATCAGGAGATTGACCGGCTGATACTCGAGCTTAAGCTGGATAGCGCCATTGGTTGGGACGGTATTTCACCTGGACTTATCAGAGCCGCTCGACACATTTTGGTGCCTATTATTTGCCATGTTTTTAATCTCTGCCTCTTATCCGGTAAATTTCCTACTGTATTCAAAAAAGCACTCGTACATCCGATACACAAAGGAGGGGATATCACTGTAAATAATTTTAGGCCTATATCCGTGCTTACTATTTTGTCCAAATTGCTGGAAAAAATTATAAATAAGAGACTCGTCGCTTTTCTTAATGCACACAACATCTTGGCTGCAAATCAATTTGGTTTTAGGTCTGGTAGAAGCACTGAAGATGCGGTGCTCGAGTTGACTAACCACGTAGCGTTAAATTTGAATAAAAAATTAAAAACTGTAGCCATCTTTCTCGACATGTCAAAAGCATTTGACACCGTTTCTGTTCCAATCCTGCTAAATAAGTTAGAAAGAGTAGGGGTCAGGGGTCTGGCACTTGATATTTTTATCAGCTACCTAAGCGAACGTTCCCAAGTTGTCAAGATTGACAACTTTATGTGTAAAGAGGTATCACTCACTTTCGGCGTTCCACAGGGTAGTGTCCTCAGGCCGACCCTGTTTTTGGTGTACATTAACGACCTATGTATGATGTCATTAAACAACTCCAAAATTATCACCTATGCAGACGATACCGCTATTATAGCTCATGGTACTAGCTGGATGGAAGCGCGTTCATGCGCGGAAGCTGCTCTGAACATAGTTCTGAAGTGGCTAAATTCAAATTTGCTTACCCTTAACACCCAGAAAACTAAATATATTACTTTTGCTCCCAGAGTTGCATCCCAGCCGGATTCCTCCTTTGAAATAATTGCACACAGATGTAACAGGACAATGGACTATGTCTGTGACTGTCCTAATATTACTAGAACACATAACATAAAATACCTTGGCGTGTTAATAGATAGCACTTTGTCTTGGAATAATCAGGTCGATTCCTTCGTCTCAAGGGTTAGAAAACTAATTTTTGTGTTCAGAAATTTACGAGCTTCCGCCGATTTCAGTATACTTAAGGTCGTCTATTTTGCCTTAGTACACTCTATCTTAACATACTGCATTACCGCTTGGGGCAATGCTGGTAAGAGTTTCTTTCTTCGATTGGAAAGAGCTCAAAGAGCTGTACTAAAAGTTATGTCCCGTAAGCCCCTTTATTTCCCGACAAATACTTTGTACGCTATTTGTAATTTACCAAGGGTTAGACACTCTTTTGTGTTAAATACTGTCCTGCGTAAACATGCTACCCTGGTGTATGACCCTAACCTGACAAAACAAGTACGTCGGTCTGATAGAGTGTGCAAGTTAGAGACCTGTAGCCTTGGTGTGGTGAGTCGACAGTATAGATTCCTGAGCCCAAAATTGTATAACAAGGTAAATAGAGTTCTTGACATTTACAGGCTTTCTTCAAGAGAATGTAAAGCTTTGGTTGACAATTGGCTATATACGCTTACTTATGAAGAGATAGAAGACTTTCTGAGTAGATAGTAACGTAGGATAACCTTAGCTTATTCCATTAAGCTGCACACCCACAATCACACTCACACTTTCTCACACACAGACACACACACACACATACACACACACATACCCATGCGCACACGCATAAAATGCATTTAAATGATTTGTTAATTTAAGTACGTTAAATTAAATTTAAATCATTCATAATATTTATTGTTAGTTTGTTATATGTAAGGAACTCCAATGTACTCTCAGAGGTGGGCGATAATAGTTGCGACACAGTTTTTATAACTAATGCAATTATTATCGTACACATTTATTGTATTCACTATTTTTGTTCCAATAAAATATATTTCATATATTTCATATACCGATGCGGTTACGCGCCAATTCAAATTTTTGAAAAATTTGAATATAACCAAAAGATTCGTTTACCATCAAACGATACAATGAAGACTCTAGTGTAGATGACAGGTCAAGAAGTGGTCGCCCTCGGTCTGTTAGGACTCCAGCAGTGATAAAAGATGTGAAGGCGCGAATTCAAAGAAATCCCAAACGTAAGCAGAAACTAGTGTCCGACCGAAACTGGTTTTCCGGCCGAAACCGAAACCGAACATTCGGCCGTGGCTTCAGTTTCGGCCGAAACCGAAACCGAAACTCACGTGGTCAAGTATAAAATTCCTAAAAATACTGAAATTTGGTCCATTTTACCGATTATTCTGCATTAATTAGGGCATGAAATGGAAACACAGTATTTTAATTTTGTTCTTATCAGTTATTTAATATAATATAAAAAAATATTAAAAAAAAAATACAAATAAAGTTCTCATACCAAAAGGAGATAGCTTCCATACATGTTTGGCCTAAAGACCAATAATCATGAAAAATTGTTTCCTAGATTCGAAATTATATATAAATTACTGTAAAAACTAATATTATTGACGGACACCCCTGAGAACTTCTATAAACCATATACACTGAATATATTAAAATAATAAAAAACAAATAAGTTATATAGTAAACTAGGGAAATCAAGCCAAGTACCGAAATTATGGATTAGATTCAGGTATATAGAGCATGTAGATTAACAGATAGTTGCCTGTTTTTAAAGTTAATGCATAAGAGTAACTTTTAAAATCAGGTGTCATATATGCATTTCCGGTTATAATAAGGTACTCTGTGACAGAAACTGTGTGATGATTGTGAATGAGCCACAGATTAGAGAGAATTTTTAAACTCTCGTTAACCAAAGAAAGCTAAGAGGTTTAGGTTATATAGCCATATATTCAGTAGCTTAATTTTTTTGTGATTGTGTGTGTGATTTTTAGTGTATCACACCTTATAATTTTATTTATTTATAGTCAGGCAACGTAGGCTCATAGATAGATACCTTAAAGTCTAAACAGATTATAATGTGTTTATGGAGGTGTTTAGCGAAAAATGTATGGCAATAGACTTTATGATGTCGCCTACCATCATAATAATTGTCTGAGCACATTTGCATGTAGTGAAAATGATAATATAGATGTGAATATTAATACCACAGTGTAATAAAAAAAATATTTATTTTATCGATCTTTACAAAATAGATTTGTTTTTATGTTATATAAACAACTTCGATCAGTCTTTGGCTGAATGTTACTACACCCATAGCCATTAAAAATGATTCATATGTTTTCCAAACCGGTAAAATGAAAAGTCCTTTTTAAAGTGAATATATTATACAAAAGTGTCCGTTGAAATCTAATGACTGTAAATTAAATTACAAATTACGCCAAGAATTACCGTGTGTCAATATTTTTTGTGCATTTAGGCCAATTTGAGCAATCTCCTTTTTATCAGCTTTATCAATAATCAAATCACTAATTTTTACTGTTTCATTAAATACTAAGTATTGGTATTTTGAAATCTTATTAACACTGGTTTGTATTTGTACTTAGAAGAATCATAAATCTCTTAGAAGTTCCATCATAACATAACCTCTAAAGAATGTTTGCATCGGGCGATAACGCACTAAGTTGTGTGTGCTTCGGAGCTATCCGAACGGCGCCGCGGCGCACGAGAATTCCCGATCAGGGCCGCCAGCGTCCGCCAATGCGTTGCCGCGAGAAACGAAGTTAAGCGAGCCTGCACGACAACTTCCGCAATCAGTTTCGGTTTCGGCAAAAGTTTCGGCCAAATTTGGCCGAAACCGAAACTGCCGCCGAAACTTGATTTTTGGCCGAAACTCGGCCGAAACCGAAACCGAAACCGAACCTTCGGTCGGACACTAGCAGAAACTGTTGGCCCTTCAGCTGGGGTTAAACAGAAGGGGTTGAAAAGGGTGTTAAATGAAGACTTAGGGCTTCGGACATATCGAAGAAAAACAAGACATCTTTTGAATGCTCGTCTAATGGACCTGAGACTGAAGAGATGCCGCGCTTTGTTCAAGCGGTACGTGGGAAAAAAATATCGGGAAATTCTTTTTTCGGATGAAAAAATTTTTACCGTAGGAGAGAGCTGCAACAAACAAAATGATAAGGTGTACGCACACAGTAGTGAAGAAGCCAGTAACCGTATTCCGCGTGTCCAACGAGGTCATTTTCCATCCTCGCTCATGGTATGGTTGAGAGTTTCTTATTGGGGCTTAACAGAGATACATTTTTGTGAGAAAGGTGTAAAAACGGATGCAGTTGTGTATCAAAATACAGTCCTGACGAACCTTGTGGAACCTGTTTCTCATACCATGTTCAATAACAGGCACTGGGTATTCCGACAAGATTCGGCGGCAGCTCATAGAGCGAAGAGCACACAAGACTGACTGGCGGCGCGTGAAAACGACTTCATCCGGTACGAAGACTGGCCCTCCTCCAGTCCAGATTTGAGTCAGATTACAAGATATGGCAAAACTTGGAGGATAAGGCGTGCTCAAAGCCTCATCCGAATTTGGAGTCACTCAAGACATCCTTGATTAAGGCAGCCGCCGATATTGACATGGACCTCGTTCGTGCTGCGAATGAAGGCCTGTATTCAAAATCACGGAGGTCATTTTGTCATAAGAATCTATGTTTTGTTAAATTCATTTTGTATATATATATACAGGGTGTCCCACGGCTATCTCACGCAGAGGGAAAGTATATTAAATATTGAAGATAGGATATTTTACTGAAAGAAGACAACATTTTATTTTTAATAATAACTAGAACTGCATTAACAGATTTTTTAAAAATTTCCTGCTACAACTGGGAATCGAATTCGTGACCATAACCATCGCAAGGGTTAATCATAACGATTATTTTTTGCTAAATAACATAGCATTTTAAATTAAAGAAAAGTCATTAAAGGACATTGGGCAAAAATGTATGGACGCTGCACCCACGTCCGCCACGGCTTAAACTACATTTGTTTGAAAGGTATTATAGTCATGATCATATGTGACAAAGCGCATCAAATTCCATCCCAGGGGTCTTTAGTTATTTTTATTTATTTATTTATTTAATAGGTTTACCAGCAATTGTTACAATAATACATTAATATTACAGCGATAGTACTATAGCTAAAAGCACAAATTATTAAAGGTAAACACCACATGCAAAGTTAATAATTACCAGTAACATTAAAATAAGACATTTACAAAATTCTGCCAATTTCTAAAGCTACGTAATATCAACATACTACAACGTGGTCAATTGCAAGTGCTGACGAAATGCATTCAGACCAACAGCATAAATATCAATAGACTGATCCAAAGAATTTAGAAGTCTACTTACTCTAGGGACAAACGAACTTGAATCCAATACCGTTGTGCGAAGAGGTGGAACTAATGTTTTTATTTGAGTTCTGGGTAATCTACGGGGTACATTACATTTAAAGTAAATAAGAAGGCCAGGGTAATTTATTTTATTGTTAAATAATTTAAAGAAATATATAAGATCAAGTATCATCCTACGGTTTTGTAATGAAGTATATTTAAAATGTTTTAATCTATCTTTGTATGAAAATCCGTTCCTACATTTGTTACTTAAGTAAGCTAAATGCCAAAAATATCTCTTCTGAATGCGTTCCAACCTCAGAGAGTGGCATGCATAGTGTGGTCTCCATACAACACCACAGTATTCCATAATGCTTAAGACAAATGAATTGTACAGCAGCCTTCTTGTCTGCAGCCTGCGAAATTCCCCAATTAATTTTCACTCCGCCTACTTCTGACAAAAGAGCAGAAAGCTTTAGTATTTACAGATATTCTATCCTTAATAAATTTTATATATGCGTTATAACAAGAAGTAGCAAGTTTTTTACATCGTTTAGACAATATGTTTAACTCAATCTTGTCCAGTGGGTTAAAGTACTTTCTATATCTACTTAAAATTTTATTTTGCTCGCGAAGTCTTTTGATCAAATAATTGCTAAACCAAGGAGTAAACTTTCCACGGTTGATCATCCTTTCCTGGGGCACAAATTCTGATATAACGTTTCTTAACAAGATGTAAAATTGTGCAACAATCTCGTTGATATCACTATATTGGGAAAATTGTGCTACCCAATCGATCTTTTAAAGATAGTCATTAATGGAACAGTAATCAGCTTTATGAAAGTTATATTTGGTAAAGTTTACATTGCGTTGCAATTGGCTAAATTTATCAAATTGTATATCGATTTGTAGTGGTGGATGATAAAGATCAATTTTACTTAAGGAGACTACAGGAGATGCCTGACTCATAAACGTTGAAATTAACCACGTCTGTGAATATAAGGTCTAATATTTTATTTTGATAGTTAGTGGTTGTATTACATTGCTTTAAATTATTCAGAGAGGCGAAATTAATCAATTTTTGATCAAGCACAGGAGGCTGATAATTAACATCATGCAAAATTTTCCAATCAATATTTCAAATTAAAGTCTCCTAAAATACAAATATGACCATTAAAACCTCTCCAGTATGAAATTGCATTGGTTTACAAAGCTGTCCAATAAGTGATGGTTAACCGGTGAGGGAAGGTATACAGCACAGAAGGCAATTTGTTTAGTTATTTCAGCATTCAAAATATTCACGATTACCCACAAGTCTTCGCAAGAACTCTGCCAGCAAATTATTTCCTTAGCCTGTTGTCGTTTTGACACTGCGATCAGTACACCTCTCCCCATCACCACATTAGAAAGACCAGTTGAATATCTGTCTCGCCTGAAAACAATGTATCTATCATCAAACAGTTCAGTACTCATTATTCCTTTATTAAGCCAAGTCTCAGTAAATACCATATTATCAAAGTCACACATAGATAAGTTCTTATAAAAATTCAGAAGTTTTAATTGTTAACCCTCTAGAATTTTGGTAGTACATTTTTAAGGTGAATTTTATTTAAAATATAATTGTTTACAAGCCCAATATTCAAAAAGCAGTTACGACCATACAATAAGTAGTTTAACCTATTTTACAGAAGCCAATGTCTGAAAGTCCCTGACAAGGACATAACCCGCATCCTCATTCTTTCTTAGGTAGATCTTGCCTCCTCTGCAAACAAATTTGTAACCTTTCTCCTTGGCTGTCTTTCTTGCGGCTGCATGAAGTGCCTTATTGATCACAGATCGATGCTCAGCAATAAAGATAGGCGTTTTTTTACCGGCAAATCCAAGGTGTGAGCTGTTGAGTTTGTCGCTTGGATGATTTTTATTAAAATTGATACTTTCAGCCAGGAATGCGTAACGCAGTTTTGAGTCTTTGAATTCCACGACTATGGACCTGGGACGCGGACTGTCCTTTTGTAATTTGGCTATTCTTGTAATACGAGTTAACTGTTCATCGGTTACTTCACATTCATTCAATAACATTCCCCAACTTTTGGATCAAGGTAACTAAATTTTCTGATTTATTTTCCGCTAGGCGTTGTATCTCGATATTAGGTCCGAGCATTCTGTTCCAATTGATTAACGCGGGATTGTAGACTCGAAATGGTAGATTGCATTATCTCGTTTTTATCTTCTATTATTTTTAATTTTCCCTGGGTCGCTTTATGCTCCACTTGAAGTGATTCAAAAGTTGCGTTCATAAAGTTCACGGATTCCTTGATATCCTTAAATTCCTCTTTGATATATTTCAATTCAGCGTCCAACATTCCGCGTATAGTACGATTGATTTCTATTGTGAAGTTTACCATATGAGTTTTCAATACAACGTCCATAATTGCACGTACTTCATCATGAGTAAAGGGTAAAGCCACATTATTAGGCGGAGACGATAGCGCTTGCTGCTTAGATGAGCGGGTATTAGTGTTGGAATTGAAGCGTACCGGAGTGTTATCATTATTGCCCTGCTTAGGTGCAGAACAAGAACATGTCGGGCAAATCCAATTCTGATCAATTTCAGAGGTTATAGTAGAAACACAAGCCAGATGGTAAGCTAGCGAACATCTAGTACATATGACGTCCTTGTCGAAACCCTCTTGAGAGACACAGCATCTTTATAGTAGGTAGCTTAACTATATTATATTAATTAAATAACATTAGAAATGACGAGGAAAAAATAAGTATTACCAAAATGGCACTGTAATAAAGGCCAAAGCCAGTAAGAGTATTAATTCCTCACAGTAGCAGCGCACCGCAATAAATGCCCCCAAACAGCTGGCAGCTCGATCAAACTCCGCGAGAAAAAGGGCTCAAGCGCCGTGGTTCGGACGTCGCTTACCCGTATCAATGAAGTTCCAGTACTGGGGTAGACGTGAATTGGATTTTGTTAGTCCGGTCCGGGCTATAACTAAGCACTAATATGCCAAAAACACTATTATTCAAACAAGTCTCGACAGAACAACACTCAATAGTAACTTAAATTAAAGAATTATGGCAAAATTTAGCATGAAAGCACAAAATATTCGTAGTTTTTAAATTAAACTTGTAGCACAAATTTTTTTAGTTAAATAAGTACAAGTAAATTCATACTTATAACGAACGAATATTAATAAAATAAGGGAATTAATTTTGCTAGTTCGACCCTACATAGAGGGCTCAGGTATTATGGGAGTACTCCACGAGGTGCAAGGGTGCCCCCTTGTGTTATTCTGCGTTAGAGTAAATCTAAAAATCCCATGCGGGGATTTTTCAAAAAATATTGGGGTGTTTTCAAAAAGTCTGTTCGTAATAGTAAATTGTCTTCTATGTAAAACGGAGCGACCACAAATCACACAAACTTGTCCGCTCTTCGAAGAAAACGTGATTCCAGTTCATCCATACTAATTGACAAAACCGATAATCGTGTTCCAATGTCCAAAGCGTGTTAGATAAAAATCAATAAGTGACAGGGAGCGCACAATCACAACGAAGTAAGAAGAGTCGTATATCGTATACGTTGTATAGTACGATATGGCATATTATTATGGTTACCAATGATATAAAATGAAAGCACTATAAAGTAAATTTATTAAGCTACTTAAAATTTGAGTGAATTCACTTTACATGGGCATATTTAATAAGCCCATATGTCATATCTTTTGACTACCAGGATATTTTTTTACGGTATCTTAACAAAAAAGGCTAGTTTTTCATAGATCTATCGATTCATACTAATTACATTGTTGGCGGAGCTGGGTGTGTTTTGCTCATTTTTCTTTAACATTTTATTTAAAATTATTTAACACAAAGTAATATAAACAATAAAACGTTGTAAGAAAAAATAATGATTTTATTTAACAAATTTTCAAAATGTGACCAATTTTGTTGTATGCAAATTCTCACTCTAATGATAATTTCTCTGCCTGTCGATTTCATTACCTTTGCATGGTGAATGTTTGTAATAATACGTCTGAGTTCATTTTGTAACTCCTGCACATTGTGTTGTACCGGTTCATGTATAATAAATCTTTTGCATAACCCCACACAAAAGTCCAGTGGGGTTAGATCTGGAGATCTCGCTGGCCATCTTACATGTACAAAAGGTATAATAATCGTATTTGGACCAGACATTTTGAACATTTGATATATTTTTTTACCCCCACGTTGGTGAAAGGTCGCTTGTGGTAA